AGCCATCTTCTCCCCAGCTTTCAGAAACATCAGCTAACTAAATGGGGGTTGGGTCTGCTACCTCATTTATCTGAACATGAAACTGCTAATCTAAACATCATCTACTCATCTCAAAAGCCTGTGCTGCTAACACTGCTCTTGAAGCCAAACAGGTCCAAGTCCCGGAATGCCACCCTAAACCGCAGGGGTGCCGGTGGCGTGAGGACAGAGCTTACTAAGACATCCCAGGAGGACAGACAGTGGGGGAGAGGCGCTGCTTGCACCAACCCCTGCCGCGTGGGCGGGCGCTAGAAATGCCCCAAACCAAGCCTGGTCTAAGACTCACCCCTGAGAAAGGGACCTGCCTGTCTTAAAGGAGCACTGCGCTGCCCCGGCCTACGCATCCGGGTACTCCCTGCCCTCCACCTCGGACACCAGGCCACTCCGCTCCTCTGCCCCGGCACTCCCTCCAAGGCAGCACGCTGCACCTAACCCTCAACCTGCAACTCTGTCCTCCGGGGTTCACCTGTTCTTCCACCTGGCAGTATCCCCAGACCTGGCCCGCGATGCCTCCGAGACGGCCCCTGCCTCCCAGCTTGCCCAGGTTGACAGCCACTCACCCTCCCCTGGGTTCCCTTCCCCACCAGGCCCCAATCGTGTCTTTAATTAAATGGGCTGCTTTTCTCCCATCAAGCAAATTCAGCTCTCGGAGCCCTGCTTCCCAGCACCTCTTTCTGCCCTGGTTGACCTTCTAAGTCCTGCCAAGCACTGGGAGAGAATGGCCACCTACAAGCGTGTGCGGGGTCTGCAGCAACTCCTGGCTGCCCCTTCCAGCCATGCTCCACGCGGCTCCAGCCCTCCTGTCTTCACCTTTCTCTGTCCCCAAGCACCACTCCACACCTCCGGGCTGCTCCATGCAGCTGCCACCTGGCGCGCACGGCTGCCCCAGAGCCAGCTGGCTCGCCACAGCGTCTCACGAGCCCAGCACACGCGTTCACATCTGTGGCTCTTTGCTTCCGGCAGTCTCGGAAGGAAGCCTGTGCATCCTTCTCACGGCCAGACAGCAAACATCTACAGGAAAGGCCACCCATTAAGTGATTTTAAAATATTACCTCCTGGTGCTTTTGAATTCTCTCAAGGGACATCTTTTCCCGAGAAATGAGGGCTTCAGATTTTGCTTGACAAGCTCTTTCAAATTCATTCCGCAATTCCGCTAATTCCTTCTCACATTTTCTTTTCTCTTCCATTTTAACTTTTCCTAGTTCAGTCTCTTTAAAATACGCCAACTGCAAATTGATCACAAAAAAATCATAACTGCCTGTAACTACCCTAAAGAAACAGTTACACTCTCTCCATGGTTAGGGTTACTCTCAATGCTGGGTAATATATTTAGTTTAATTCATCTTTAGTTTCACTTCATTCACTGCCCCAGTTGGAATCATTCAAAAGGCATAAATGGCATTAACTGAGAAAATATGAACAACAATGCAGTATCACATTCACCGACGAAACCCTAGGTATTTTCCTCATGCTCAGAAGAGACTATAAGCAAAGCTACCACACTTACGACAGCAACTAGACGAAGCTTACCTTATGAACCAGTTCGGCCCGGAGCTGCTTTTCTATTTCTTTTTTATACTCATTTAGCTTCATCTCCAGAGACTCCAACTTCGGATGCTGCGGGTAACTATCAGCAAAGTGGTCATCGATACGCTGGAACTTCTCAGCTGGTAAAAACAGCACCGGGAGTTAGGGCAGAGAAACGGGCTCAGATGCGCAAGAGGCCAGAGCTCTGTCCGAGCGAGCAAGCACGCTGGGGGGAGGGATGTGTGCCATTTACTTCAAAGCAGCAAGACTCGAGACAGACTCAAGGGTGGACAGTAAGTGGTGGAGCAAGGAGAATGCGAGTTGGGGGGGGGGTCTGCAGCGCCCGCTGTGAACTGCCCTAGGGCTTTCGCGTTTGAAGACGTGCATCATAAAACATCGTGATCGGACAGGGTGGCCCTGGGGCTCCTGAGGGCAAGGGGCAGCCCCAGCCCCAGCTCTTCTAGCAAGGCTTCCAGGAGAATGCAGTGCCCCGCCACCTGCAGGCCACGCCCCTTCCTCTCAAGAGCACGTACTACAGAGCAGCGTGTATGGAGGCATTTCCTTCACTCAGAAGGCAAACACACAGCAGAGACTATGGCGAGGCCAGCATTACCCAGAGAGTCTCTGCCGGCCAATGGCATCGTCTGAGTTTCCACATCACAGCTGGCTTTCGTCTGGTGATATTCTGCCAATTCTTTTAAAAACTGCATGAGGAAACCTGAAAAACAGTGCATTTGTTTTCAGGTTCCCAACCTTCTTTCATTCAACCACTGCTCAATGGCTGTTTCTTCAATCTGGAACAGTATCCTTTTTTTACACCACAGCCCTTGTAAGACTAGCCTCTGAGGAGAGGACTTTCCAGACAAGATACAAAACATAGAAGACTTAAGGAAAAATAGGCTATTATCAAGGCCAAATTTAAAGCAATTCGCCAGTTCTGTATAAACACATGGATAAAAAGATATACGTAAATTATGACTGAACGTGCTGCAGTCTTTAAGCAATTATTAACACTCTAGAAACTGTTTGAGAAGAACAGCTAGGGGACAAAGGGAGCAGCCTGAAAGCTGTTACTTTTGTTTCTTGCGGAAACTCTCAAACAGTAGGTATCTTTACAGTGATTCTTTGCAGCCATTTGTAGTGCTCTTGCTAATACCATCTGCAGTTTTCTCCTCGGACCATCTAAGAGATATTAAAAAGACAGCATTGGGGAGAAACTACATTTGTTAAACTGCTCTGTCTACTGTTTTATTTCAAAGGGAAAGTACTACCAGCAAGGAAAATGAAATTACTTCGTTCAAATTAAACTCCCTACTCTTCCTCCTAAAACTGATTAGTTTCATACTTCTGTGAAAAATGTACATGACAAAAATATTGCTATTCTCCACAAGGACGAAAGCTCCTACCTTTCTGGTTTTCTTGATCACATCTTGAAATCTATTAAAAGAAAATATTTTATCTTTATTCAACAAGTCCACTATAAGTAACAAACAAAAAAAGCAGGTGATATAAAAAGGAAACAACCCTACCAGTGATTTGTAGAGACTGGACGTGGGGTTGATTTTAATGAGTTCTAACAGGTCCTGCATAGTAAGTACCTTAAGAAATAAAAGGATTAAGTAGGCATTTTTCGAGGAGCGTTTCATGATAAATTAAGATGTTTCTGAATGAGAAAGAAGCTATTCATATAAAACTGAGAGACAGGACAGGGAGGACTACCTTTTCTTTTGCCAAGCCGCTCTCCGGAAAGAAGACAGAAAGCGAGTACTCATAGCCACATCTCTGTAAGTGCTCCGCCACCAGTGAGTTGGAAGCGCCGGCTAAGAGGGCGCCCCCTGCCACAGACACGGACCGTGGCTGCAGTTCTCCGCTCAGCACAGGGTGCATCAACTCATGAATCAGCTGGTTTCGGAGTTGTATCTGCTCGAAAACAAAACCAGAAACCAGAGGGAAAATGTTTCAGCAGAATTGTTTCACAGGTTTGTTACATGAATTAGAGTCCTTCCTTTTACTTCCAAACTCGTTCTTCTAGATCTGTGGCCAAAAGTTAGGAACCTTCCACAGCACACTTAGGGGGAGAAAAACCCCACGGAAAAGCAGCTTGCGCTCCCTGGCCACCAGCCACTCACCGGCCACCTGAGCTGCCGGGCAGCCAGCGGTGCACACGCGCCACTGAGCTTCCCTGCAAGCCCGCTTCCTTAGCTTCCTTAGCGTTGGTCAGGAGAGCAACGCTAGGAGAAAATCCTGCCACTTCTGCCTCACTTCCCTATGGACTATGGGAGGATATAAAATTGGGTGAAGGTAATTTAGTGAGCATATTGATCAAAAGAAAATCAGGTTTGCAAAGAGAAATAACCTGTGTGACAGAACTCAGTAAAACCCAATGAGGCTTACTGAGATGGCCTTATGCAATGTCCCTACACTGGAAAGAACAATTATTGCAGGGGGAGGAGACATGGCCAGAAGGCACCAGTGAATCCTCAACACCCCCTTTCAGAAAATGACAGACTGTGTGGACCCAAATAAGGGGAACATCATTTAATTGATGCTCATAGGATCTTGTACACATAACCGTAAATATAAATTCTTTTCAAACACCCACACAGAATGTGAATTAAGCCACTAAAAAACCCAATACAGTTTTAGAATTCATCCAAGCCTCAGACATTCAACTGAGTGTACAATTTAGCTCAGAATGGGACAGTGAAAATCTGCCCTGACATTGAGCAAGTTGGCACAACAGAAACTAAGAAAGGAGGAGAAGGATTTCTCCCAAAAGGTAAACCACAGCTGTGAAGTGACAAAATCTATCATAATCCTGAGGGTCAGAGCCAACTGCATCAGCTCAAAAAGTAAGATGACTGGCCACGATCAACTGTGACCAGTGATGAAGTAAAACACTAGCTCATCTGATCCAAAAGCACAGTGAAAGGAGATACAGGAACACAAGAATCAATGCATCATTGTAGTGCATATCATGCTACACTTCATTCCAAGTAGGTTAAATAGTTAACTGGGCAGAAGTGAAACCTTTGTAAATATTTTTAAATGGAAAGTGAGTATTTGCTCTCAGTGAAAAACTTAGACCAATCTGTGTGTGTGTGTATATACACATATGTATAAGTATATATGTGTACACATATATATGATCTTATAAAAATGTAACATCAGTATTTTTTTAAAGATTTATTTATGCATACAGAAGTGGGGTACAGGCCAGAGGCTCAGGGGTGGCGAGAGGCTTCACCAGAGGCAGAGTGGGGAGCAGAACAGGCTGACTGATAAAGTACACTGCTAAGGGGAGCAGCAGGTGGGCCAGGAGAGGTCTGCTGCACCATGTGGGTCACCTCCGGGGCAGGGATCGAACTCATGCTGAAGTGGCATTATTAGCTTCTTTGTGCTGTGCTTTAACCTGCTGCGCCCATACATCAGTATTCTTAAAGCCAGATAAAACCAAGATAAAGTATTGCCAACAAAAATGGAAAAAAAGATTTGGTAGTTTCTATTAAAAGAATTCTTCTACACTAACAACAGGTACCCTAAAAAAGAAGGGGACTAAGGAACATGAATTGCCCATCCATAGAAAAACATACAAGTGGCCAGAAAATTACGCAACCCATTTATAATTAAAGAGACGAATATTAAATTCACTTAAATGTTTTCCAATCTCAGATAAGTTCAAAAAGTGTCATGATAATATTGGAGTGACTCAAACATTCTGAAATTTTGGTGGAATATAAACCATAGTTCGTATTCTAAATATACAGTACAGAAAAAGGCACATACACGGAGAGCCTTTAAAACACGCACGCCTTTGCTGCAGTAATGCCACTTAATCTAGCCTGAGCAGGTGCGCTGGAAGGGGCTGCACAGGCGTGGATGTGACCTGCGTGTCCAACAGGGGACTGCCACACAAATTACCCCACACCCAAAGATGAGCCGGTGCCATGGAGAATGAGAGCTTCAAGAAACTTGTGAAGAACTCACCAACAGAGAAGTACTCACCATCTAAGACGGAAACACCTGTCTGTTTTGCTGTATTTTTCAGATTCGTCTAGTACTTTATGTTCCAAAGCAATGCGAGAGCGTGAGTGTGTAGGTCCAGATACTGCCCACCCCACTGAGAAGCCCATGCTTCACAGACCACCACCTGTGACGGAAGGTGCAGGCAAGCAGGGAGGGAAGGGAACACAACCCAAGCACAGATTGCGGCTCACTGTGGAAAACACGAGAGGCAGAGGTGACTAACATCATTCCCCAACCAACGCTGAGTTTTTTTTTTTAAGATCTATTTTCTTTATTTATGCATACAAGAGCTGGGATGTAGGTCAGAGGTGTGGGTGAGGGGGTGGTGAGAGGATTCACCAGAGAGAGTATGGAGCAGAACCAGATACCTCATGTCAAACTAGCAATTAAATATGAAGGTGTAATAAAGGCTCTCAAACCGAGGCTGACAGCTTGCTACGACTAGACCTGCTCAAATACTACTACAAGGGGTTCTACAAGAAAAGAAAAACTGAAGCACAAACTCCTTAGCAAAATGACAACAGCAATATCGAGAGCAAGAATACTGAGTCAACAGCACCAAGAAAAAAGAACTAGTTAAGTGTCAGAGAGCAGACACTAGCTCATAAAGGACCTAAAACAGGAGTCTGAGTTAACCCACGGTAAGCACTAACCAACAATACATAATAGACATCCATAGGCAAATAAGCAAAGAAATTGATAGTACCACTAAAGAAAGCTACCCAGAAAGAGTAGAAAGGGGAAAAGAAACAGAAAAATAAAATGATCAAAAATAAAAACACGAAATGACTGCAAATAAACAGTACATATCAGTAATCACCCTAAACGTGAGTGATCTAAAGTCATCGATGAAAAGATACAGACTAATCATGTGGGTGAAAAAATCCCAGTCATCAATACTTTGTGACCCATTTAAAGCCAAAAGACAAAAACCAAACTAAAAAGTAACAGGCTGGAAGAAGGTCATACATGCTAATAACCAGAGTAAGTCAGGAACTTCTATTCTTGTATCCAACAGGCTAGACTTTCAATGAAAAAGGTAGTCAGACACCACATAATAATCAAGGGACCACTCGTCAAGAAGATATAACTCTTAGTAGTTATGCTCCAAATATTGAAGCACCTCTATAAAGCAACAATTTACAAACCTAAAACAATATATCAACAAAAATACAATCACTGTTGCAGATTTCAACACACCACTGTTACAAAGGGCAAGATCATCCAGATGGAAAATTAACAAAGAAATAAAGTATTAGATTAGATAGGTTTACTGGATATAAGTTTTGCATTCTAAAAACAATATACCTCTCAAGTGCACATGGAACATTTTCAAGAATATATCATATACTAAGACATAAAACAAGTCTCAAAATATACAAAAATAGAAATTATATGAAATATCTTCACAGATCACAATGCTATAAAGCTACAAATGAACCATAAAAGGAATCCTAGAACAACCAAAATATGCGGTAACTAAACAAAATGCTCAAACAGTCCAATCACAAGTGCTAAAACTGAAAGAGCAATAAAAAGTCTCCTTAAGAACAAATGCCCCTAAAGCCTCCCTGGTGGCCTAACAGTTACGTCTCAGTGCTATAACACTATCAACCATGCTGCAGCCTGAGTTCAATCCCCAGCCAGGGCGCTGACCCGCATGGCGTGGCAGACCTCTCCTGTCTGGCCCGCTGCTCCCCTCAGCAGTGTACTTCACTCAATCTGCCTGTTCTGCTCCCCACTCTGTCTCTGGTGAAGCCTCTCACCCTCACACCTCTGGCCTACACCCCAGCTCTTATATGCATAAATAAAAATTAAAAGAACAAATGCCCAGGTCAAGATGGCTTTCCTAGTGACTTCGACTAAACCTATTAAGATCTAGTACCTAGCCTACACACACTCTTCAAAAATAAAATCAACGAGGGGGGAAAACTCCCCAGTACATTCAACTAGGCCAGAGTTACTTTGACTCCAAAACCAAACAAAGGTAATACAAAACAAAGAAAATTGTAGACCAATATCTGAGTAACATAGGTACAAAAATCTTAGCAACCAGGTACAGCAACATATTGAAAGAACTGTCCACCACAATCAAGCAAGCTTGTGAGAATGACCCAAAAAATGGAATTAACAAATACTACTTACTACTATACAGTTTGCTCACTCATTAATAAGTATGCATTTAGTAATACCATTGCTCTGATTTGAAGGCACTAGTCTCTTGCCATTATATACAATATATGTAGGTACACATCAAACAAAAGCAAAAAGAGACTACTAATCAAAAGCAAAATCTGACTTCACACCTTCCCTGTTAACATTCTCCAGTCTGTCTGTAAATGAATTGTCCTAAGCACTTTCTCATTGGGCCAGTGTTCTGTGCTGTGGTTCGGTTCCCAGAAAAATCCACAGAAGTCTTATCCAAAATTTAAATGAATTAAGAAATACAGAAACCATTCACCAATTTGCTTGGCTTTGGTTCTCCTCCAGTGGGAGGCAGTGCTGACAATGGGGCTAAAGGAACCGATTCCTTCCGGGCTGGAAACTAGAAAATGGGCCCCTTAAGTCTGAATAGAGCAACAGTTTGAATCTCAGATAAGGTGGTCATGAAGCTCACCAACAGAGAAAAGGGCAAACAAAAACAAACCAGTGACACTTAAAAAAAAAAAAAAAAAAAAAAAGACTCAGCAAGGAAGCCTGTGACTAACTGGTAGGCATCCAGAAGTTAGGGTTGTCCAGCTACTGTTCCTCCCAAACACTCACTCGAGAAACAGCATTTCTTTTACACGTTAAAGTTTGAAAGAGTAAAAGAATAACTGGTCATTAGAAAAACCAGTCCTAATAAATATTTGCGTTTCCCCCCCCCATACCTTACAGTGTATTTTCGGGA